CCTGAGTGATGCCTAAGAGAGCCTTAATTTAGAATCATGGCTTTATGCAAGCTTTATGCATCCAGAAACCTTCTGATGATGGCAATGAAATTTTTTTCTGAACAAAGGTTTCTTTATAGTTTCGGTTTACGGTAACACCATGCGGTAATAACTACTGTCGCTTAGTAGATTTAGTTCTGATAAAAACAGTCCTGCTTAGTTCTAAAAAGAACTTGTCTTGTTATCTACTTTCGCTAAGTAGGTTGGGAAGGCGGTGGGACTTCTCACAATAAGCCATTTGCGTGTGACCTATACCCTTTGGGATTTAAATTTGAAAAAGCATCTGGTACACTGACTCGCTCAGAATGCTTGGCACATTTTAATTTTGAATTCTCCAGACTAAAGACACTGCTGCTAATCACATGATTCGGGGCAAGCTCTTGCATAGTTACAAAAAGGCGCTCAGCACCAATACATTGTTCACAATGGGTGAGAATGGCACAAAGACAACAGACCATGCTGGAGCCGGGGGTTGCTAGCATATAAGGCTTGCCCCGAATCACGTGATATAGTAACATCTCTTTGATCGGGAGAATGCAAAGTTAAAACGTGCAAAGCATTGGATGAAGTCAGCGTTCCAGATATTATTCAAATTTAACTCGCAAATGGCTTATTATCTTCACTGAGGCAGAGTGAGATCAGTTTGGTCTACACGTTTTGACTAGCCTGCTCCAGTCATCCTCAGGAGACTAGAGGTTTCTTCTTTTGATGCACAATTGCCTACATGTACATTGAAGCATACAGTACTACATAGGCACTATATGTTATTATGACCACGATTTCCATTCCTGGGAATAAAGTTGTGCAGGTTTTGCAAAAGCATATCAACTACATTCCAAAGGATATATACAAACACACAAAGCAGTCACCTTCATCCAACTGTTAGCTTTACAAACAAGAACATGTACTATACAGGCCTGCAAAAAGTTGATTGTCTTTACGAAGTCCAAGTTGGACCCATCCCTACTCCATCCACCATTTAGCTAATGACCAAACAGCGAGGCTCATTTTACTAGTGATGACATACAGATGCATTTTACAAACTGGTCCTCATTTCCATTAACACCCCCCCCCCCCGAAAAAAACAAAAACACCACAAGTTCCCTAGATATCAATAGCCCATATACTGACATAGGCCATAACAACATTTTGCTTTTTTTTCCTCACTCAGACTGGATCAGTGGTACTGACATTTGCCTGAGTTACCCTACTGCAGATTCTCTTTCCAATTATCTCTGCGAGTCTTGTAACGCAAACGGCAAATCTCCACAAAATGGACGGGAATCCTAGCCTATTTGGGACAGTAACCGCCTTCTTGCTTTTCAGAGGCGCCCGTGCACGGGTACAAAAGGGTCAACTTGGGATTTCTGGAAGTCTGTTGGTTAATGTGTGCGGAGCCAGTGACTGTTTTTTTTTAAAAGCTTTTTTGTTATGGGGTAATGTTGCTCTTCGTAATGGAACCTGCTTAGGTCAATCTCGGCCGAGGGTAATTTGGTAACGTGAACCACAAAAAACTCGGGCTGTCCAAATATGATTTTAAACACAGGTAGTGTGATGCTGTGTGCACTAAGTGTGGTGTCTAGTCCATACCGGTAGGTCTTAAAATATTTTAATTTTTTTTCTCTTGGCTAGAAATCAATCACTTCAAATTCCTGGTAATAACTTCAGTATTGCCACAAAAAAGATGATTGCTGAGCAAAAGATGAGCAGCGTTCGCATTGAACTAATTTTGTAAAGAGATACCGTTAGTGATTGTTAACATTCCACTGTGGTAATTCTACCGTGCATGCACACTTGGATTACTCAGGGCCCACGGAAAGACTGTGGCCACATAAACCACGTAAACCACGTGATCAAAATGTACATTTTACATTCCAGGGCTGTCTGCATGGGACTTTTTAGCAACGTAAAACCGACTTCAGCCGTGTCCGCATTGGACTTTTTTTGGGCTAATGTAACTCTCCGTGACCCGGTTAAGGCCCAGTAAAACTTCCCGCTGCGAAGGGATAAACTAACAACCGACGATCGACACTTAACAATTTGGAAAGTTTACCAGCTGTCCACACTGGACTCGATTTGGTCAAGTTGATAAAAGTCGACGTACTTTTGCCAAAAAAAGTCCAATGCGGACATGGCTTTGGACTGGTGCCTATCTCACACACTAACTGTTACTTACAGTGGCCTGATGGGACCAGCTTTATGAGTCTTGCTTATTCCTGTATGTTATGTAGCATCTACACGTCAGTTACACCGGCGCCGCTTGTTTCATGTATTTTCTTGATACACATGCAGGCAATATGTCAAATCCCAATGTGAACGGTGAATACGGATTTTTAAAAATTCCATCTCATTATCACTGCACCTTATTCTACGAACTTTTTGGACATTCTGAATCAATTGAATAGAATATTGTGTACTCTGGGACCAGTTTGACTAGGCATGACTTGTCTTGTTTTTTTTGGTTTTTTTTCTTCTCAGAACTCCCACAAGACTTAGATCCCTGTCTGTAGCTATCAGCAAAGCGTCAAGATGCTGTTGTTCAACTTCAAGCGGTTTTCTGATTTTTTTTTTTAAGTACAAGGGAGTGCATGTGCTGTGGCTAATTTCAAGCGTCCCTTGACAGCCCAGTTGATAATAGAAATCAGCAATTCTCTCACTTGTAAAAAACGTACTCCGACTGGGCAAACAACTCGATTCCCAGCCAGCGCATTAAAGTGCGCACATCGATCTTCCATTACAAATCGCATAGCAACTTCATTACATGTGGTAATTGTCCGCTCCTGCGATGTAGCACACGTACCTCACAGATATGTCAATTTTTGTCAGAAGGCGAGGGATTTGACAACCCCTGCTTGCCAAGAGCTGAAACAGCCAGACACTAGCTGCAGCACAATGCTGGAAGGATGGGGCAGTTTATGAAAAAAATCTCGTAAAAGGTTCATGTTAACCAACAGACTGTTACAATTAAAACAATGTCTCAAAAAATAGTCAACCCATAAATATTAGAAACACTGGCACTCCGTTTTGCAAAACTAGAGTCTTAAGGTATAGTAAATACTCTACACAATGGTCTTTATCCCATTTGATTTGGACACTCCAGTCTAGAGATACAGTTAATTAAATGAAAGGACTTGAATTCCAAGTTGGGCCGCTTGGTATCTAATGAAAGGCATTCACATACCAAGAAGGTGAAAAAGTGGCCAAAACCGATTACGAGAGTCTTTACAAGCTTTACCGTAACTTTTAAACAAAAGGTCCAAATCACACAGACCAAAAAATTCCTGTCCAGGGCAAAGTTGCTGGATTCGAACCCCTGACCCTATAATCAAGAGTCACATACCCCAGCAACTATGCCATAATCCTAATTGCCATTCGTACCAACTCTGACATGCGAAACAGTTGAATAAACAAAATCATTAACTCTGGCTGAGTAAATTAAAAAACTTGTTGGGAAAGAAAACTTTCTTCTCTTTGGATGAAACATTTTGGTACAAGTTCAGAACTTCTAAAAGGGAATCCGGGATAGTTGAAATGGAGGTACAAGGGTAAGATGCAAGTCAAATCTTGTGGATGTCTTGACAAATTTAAATCCCCCACCCCACCTGTGTCAGGCCTGGAGACAGTTATCGTAAACAAAACACCAAAAAAGCCTCTGCCAACTTGGCAAATCCCCTCAGCGCCCTTACATCACACACCGTTGTTCCCCAACTCCCCCCCCCCCCCTCCACGAATTGCTCGAGGCTGGACGAATCTATTGGATCTAATTGTTGCGCTCGGATCGCCCCTTCCTGCCTCCTGGAAATTAATCAAAATCGACAGCTTCGCACTTGGCAGGGACAAACAGGGTTTTTCTCTTTGCGCAGGGATGCTGTGGCCATGGTCGACAGAGTGACTTCGTGACATTTGAGTTTTGCGTTGTTTTTCCACCCAACCCTTTCCCTTAAACTCATTACCTTCACCATGTAACGAAACGTTAAAGGCAGCGTGTCGCTTTTGGAGGGTCAATTTACATGTTGTTTGTATGCAGGCTGAATACATTTCACTATTGCTTATCCAAACGAGAAGTGAAAGGAGTAAAACCATGTGTATGTTTCCATGTCAAAACATTAACGTAAATTTAAACGACGTTTTTATTTGATTTGTTACAACTCATCGCCGTCCAGTGTAACGAGCTGTTAGTTGGACTTGCTTCGGTCGAAAAGTCACAAATAAAGCTCACGTTGTACACAATGTACCATCCTTTCAGATGAATTGTTGCAATTATTACATTAAACTTCAGAGTCTATTTTAACCCTTAGATGCTCGCCCCGGGGTGAACTCGATCACCCCTGCTTGTTTCACAATACAGTTCTTACCCTGGGGAAAGTGTCTTGCCTGGGGCTAAAAGTTTTGGTCCCGAGGGGGGGGGATGTTGTTGAGAATTTCAAGTTTGAATCGTGGTGTATTTTTACCCCTGCGTCACCCCTTTCAGCCTTCCAGTTTGACACAAGACCACTGAGCACCTCAAAAGAATCACAATGGTGTATTAAAAATGAGTGGTATGCCTAGAGAAGGATGTAGAGTTAATAGAGTACCAAAGTGTGATGACATTTATAACCAGGAAATACAGTGCAAACAAATGAAGTACGCGTGCGTGTTGGTTCATGGGCTGAAACACGCGCCAATGTCTTTTACACACATAAGTGTGCGTGTGATGTATTCACTTCGGTACTCTATTGGATTGCAAACTGGAAGGCTGCCATAGCCACATGACACATCATCAGGTATGGATTGCACAGGATTCCATGACTTATCTATGACTGTTTCTAGCATTTTCAACTTTCAACTAATTCCTTAAAATTCAATGGTGTTCCATGACTTTCCACAATAGCTTAAGATAATCCAGGATTTGTCCATGATTTGTGGGAACCCTGACACTATTACATGCAAAAGCAAAGCTATGATGTGGCCTCTTGACTTACGTTGGGCATTCCAGTCTCCTTGGTTCATCCGACGCTGGACAGGCAAGCCTTTCAACCAGCTTGGGGCAGAGCGTCCCGCCTCCTAAGGGAGCTACGGTGACACTGCGCTTGCGCTCCTTGTACACTGTCCCCGACTCCGGGTCCGGTCGGGACTTACAGGGGTTAGGGCAGGTGCTCCAGGTAGACCAGCTGGTGGTGGCACAGTCACGGGGAACCAGACAAGACTGGAACTTGGACGGCACCAGGCTGTTTTCGTTTTCATACTGGTAGCACAGGCTGCAAAACCAAGCAATAAAAATAGTTAACGATACCGTGGAATCAACAAGCCAAAGTATGAGATTGTTGCTGCAACACTCTCAAACCTCTCAAACCATGACTAGACTGACTCACCTGAATGCAACAAGATCTAACAGCAAGTAATGTAGACAGAGGGAAAACTTAATTGAGTGAAACCTTATCAAAAATGATAACCCCCAAAATATTATATAACCTTTTGAGACTGGAATCATTATTGGGATGGCCTATATAATATTTAGTGTCTGTGTGACTTCCTATGGTAGACTTCATGTATGAGATGACAAACAGATCTTATTGGTCACGTCATTTGAGAATCTGTTCAGATTTGTTTTATTTCATATTCCCGGAATATTATTACACAAGATTTTGTTGACGCATATGATAAGTTTCTCTGAGGATGGAACAAGTACAGTTCATTTACTGTGGATAAATGTCTATTCCTTGGGGTGGCAGAGGCAGGTTTTTTTTGGTACATGTGAAAAAAATCTCTCATGATCAAGTTTGAAGGAACCTAATAATCGACACAAAAACGTCAAAGGTAATTGTTTCAAAAATTGGACACAGATCTTTTTTTCTGTAGGTTTTTTTGTCTGAATTAACACATCAGTTATTAGGAAAGCACTGACTAATGCATCCATGGTGGGCTAATTATTAAGTGGAACTTTAAACTTATTCATCACCAACACAGCCCTTTTACTCAGTAATTTCTGAGAGCTTGGGGCCTTAAACTAATCATTTATGTCTTCTATGTTCTGACTCAGTGTGGTATTGGACTTGAACATTTACAGCATGGCTAATTTCAAGTATGGGGATATTCATAATGTTTGTAGGAGATCCTTGTTTTGTCATGTTCAAGTGATTGGGTCAAGTTTTTGTGTCAGGACCTTGGCAAGTACTTTGTACATTGTCAGCAATGTACATTGCATCATATTTCATGCATAAATTGTTTATATCTATGTGTCTCTTGTAAATAAGGTTTTTGAATGGATTTGCTTAAAGATTGCTTTCACATGAATGTTGAGAATTTAATTAGAATCAAGATGGTGCTTACCCATCATCCACCTTTTCTCCATTATTCTTCAGGCATGATACGGTCCTCAACTGTAGCCCGATGCCCGGTAGTCTGTTGTTCCCTGTTCCCCGAGCTGGAGGCTGGCACTTCATCCAGGTCCCCACCTTAGTGAAGTACGTAAACTCGTTGCTCTCACACGGTGGATTGTTCTTACACATCCTGGTCTCGCTGAGATTGGGGCAGCTACGGCCGCTGTGGATGGGCGGCACCACCACCTCGCGGGTGCGCGTCTGCGTGCCGTTGCCGCAGGTGCTGGTGCACTCGCTCCACTTGCTGAACGCTCCCACAATGCAGTTCTGCGGGCACGGGGTGAAGCACTCCATCTCCGTCGGGGGCTTGATCTCAAACTGCTCGCAGATGTACTGCGGCACCACCTCCCGCGTCTCCTCCTTCAGAAAGCCCGTGCTAGTGTCCACGCACTTGACGGCCCGGGATTTCATGCCCAGGGAAGTCTCCCCGCACTCTAGGGGTCCCGTGTCTACTGTCCGTTGGCATTTCTCCCAGTCACCGGCCAGCCAGGCAAAGAGGTGCCGGTGTTCCTCGCAGACTTTGAAACAGTTCCTGCGACTTTCAGGCATGGTGACTTGGTCGCATTTGGACGGTGGCTGAGTGCCGAGTACTGGGTGGGTGCACCATACGTGACGGGTTTGGCTACCGGCAAAACCACACTGGTTGCCATTACATGGACCCCATGGACCTGCAAAATAATGGCAGAAATAGAACTCGCTTTTAATTAAGATGGCTTTTTGTTTTTTATTCTTGTTTATAAAGTAAAAATATTGAACTCAATAAAATGCAAACAATGTCATGATGAGAATCACGCTCTAACAATCAATTTTAAACAAAATAATGTTAGCATGGTTTTTTTACATTTAACATAAATAAAACTCTGTTTTTGAACTGAGATTATTTAAACTTTACAGAAAATTCAAAGCAGACAAAAGTTTTTCTAGACTTACATTTCGAGAATTTTTTTTTTTTTTAATTTGTTGAAGCCTCTTGGAATTAGTCCTTACATAAAGATTAAAATTCTGTAACATATCAAGATGTAGAAACAGTAAAAAATAAATACACAATTCTAGATTTCTCCTGTTGCATCTGGTCAAAACTAAAGAACTATAGTCACACTGTAGTTCAAGTACCAACACCCCATTTGATAGGGCTTTTACATGTAAGGAGGTTACAAGTAAGTGCTCCATTCACAGGTTAAATAGCCTGGATTCTGCCACTTTTGTTCCTTAATGGTCCCAAAGGGAAAGAATTTTACCCGATGGATACATGTTCCTGAATAATGCGAATCAATATATTGCTTGATTTATACAATGCAAACACATTCTCAGAGCCAGGGCAGAGGGGCACTTAACCGGTAAAACCCACAAGTACTTGAGATATAGCGGTCGACCCATAAAAAAAAATAAAAAAAATACAGCCATTTGGCAACATCGCCGGAAACAATCTGGCGGGATTTGTATAGTCCCAGTTTGTTTCTCTGTGCCGCTGGCAATGTGCGCATGCCACACACTTGCGTAAGCTTTTCCCCCCTTCCATGAAATAGCTGGTGACACAGAAGGGCACGGCTCCAAAGCTTCAAAGCTTCAAAGCCCCCCTTGCAGCTATCTGCTCATATTCCACTCCACGTCCAACAAAACACGCTCGGAAGATTATTGTGACAGATTCAAGAGGGTTTGGGATAACCGGTCCCCCCCCCCCAACACACACTCCAGATGGGGATTATAGCTGATGGGGGGCCATTAACGGCCAAATCAAAATACAATCTGTTCAAGTGGTTTGCTGGAATTTTAAAAACGCTTCTGTCTTTCTTCTTTTTCTGTTCTTTCAGGACAGGCCCAAGTTCAATCTTGTATAGGAGTGCCGGAAATTGTCATTTTCCACATATTCTACATTGCAAGTATATTATTAGCAAATGAACGTGTGTGGGTAAATGACAAAATCAGATTTAATACAGAATAATGGTGTTTTTTTAAATAGTTGGAGTCAGGAACTATAAGGATGAAAAAAGGGTGGTGTTGCCCTCTTTATTAAGAATGAGCTATATTTATCAATTCGCAAAGATTAGCAAAGGCACAAACCCACAGCAGCAAAAACAATGAATTTCCCTAAAGAGCTGGCGGGCAAAGCAAATATAAATATAGGAATAAAACCATTGTATTTGTTGTTACGAAATTAAGTAGGATCTATTCCACACACACACAAATTGTTCATGGGGTACAGTTTTTCCAGGATTGTTCTTCTTGGCAGGATCACATTCCACAAGCAATTAAAGCTGTATTTAATCTTGTTAGTCCCTTCCCTTCATCTTAAAAAACTATTTGATGAATGTTACAATTGTTGTTAAACACAGCTGTGAAATTTAGCTGTACGTGAAATAGTTGTGATTTTCCAACACTACTTTTTCATGCTTTCCAAATGTTTGGTCTATAACTGCCAGTTACGTTTTCAAGTGTTCAATAAAACTTGAAATACGAGATTAAGAGAATGTGTCTTCAATAAGGCTTCACGTCTTCAAGATTAACTTGACCACCCTTCCAGAATGTCTTTGATTTGAACACAACACTGCAGTAAAAAAAAATCCTCTACTTGATTTTGTGAAACTACCAACAATTTTGTTCTCCCATTTCTCACGGCTCCGCAGAAAACGGATACCCCAAAATAAAGATTGCACAACTTCTGACGGGCGCGTAGAGAATGGCATGCAATTCAAAAGGCTCTTCAGAACGTGACAGAAGCCCGCGGGCACCAGCCTGTCACTCCGATTTGGGTCTCTGTGTTTATTGTACATGAGATTTCATACACTAGGGCGACCATTTTTATCGTTTTATTACGATATGGTCCATGTCAGCCCTTCGACTGGGATTGTTCCATATCAGATACAGTAAGAGGCTTGGCTGTTAAGAAGAACTGTCAGTGTGACAGTTTAAATATAAAAAAAAGAAACATTTCATATACTTTCTCTAGCACAGAAGAGTATGAAAGATATCAAGTGCACTCGCCAAGTTTTTCATAGATCTGACTAAAGTATGAGAAGTAACCTGTGACAGTCGAGACGAAGACTCGAAAATGGGATAATCCCTCCATGTTTTTGTGATCAATCCCCCAGATAATTTATAACTCAATAAATTTAAATCTCAGAAATTTGATTCCTGAGAAACAAAGCTCGTGCAAATGTCCCTCCGGCTTCAATCTTGCATATAAAGCCTTTATGATAATACAAATTATGCATTGTCTTTGATTGGGATTTTGTAATGAGACAGCATGACAGCTGAATCAACAGAATCACCAAATTCCAGTAAGAAATGACATTATTCATTCCATACTCATCGTTCACATACTAGAATTGCACATGTGCACATTGTGATTTGACAATTTGAAGCCAATTTGAGTATCAATTTGAGTATCTGAGCCAGCAGATACCTGTGTAAATATACGCAAGTCTATGGGGGACACGGTAACTGAGTCTTGATTTTGAATGCAATCAAAAGAAGATGGAAACTTGCATTTGAACAAAAGATGGAATATATAACACCTAAAAACATGGTGCTTTCCAAGTGTTCAAATGTTTTGTACAGTACGTACATGTACTTCATAACATGTACTTTAATTTTATTGGTACCTGCTACATGTATGATTTTACTGCTAATTGTTTATCCCTATTAACCACTTCGCGCCAGGATTATTTTTGCCGAAAATTCCGATTTTAATTGGCAAAAGACAGAATTTTTCAGCCAACTTCTGGTATACAGCCAAACACCACAAATACTGATTCGCAAGAGTAATTTCAACAGTATTTGTACGATAATTCTTGCCATAACCTCATATGTTTCATATGATACTGTGAGCAAATGTACCTTCCAACTTGAAATACTGCATATATGCCTGATCCGGTCATATCTGAACTTGCTGTCAAGAAACAAGCGTCCAACCCTTCAGTCCCTCCCGTTATTGTACACGTTGTTGATTCCGTTAGAGAGTAATCAGCGAAGCCTTGGTCCTGTTTGCACTAATTGAGGCCAGAGTACTGTCTTGCTGTACCCAACCCCTCCCCCCCCCCACACACACAGGTATGTTCATGCCAATTACTGGTCTACACCTGGTGATGTAGTCAGTGACGGATGGGCTGAGACAGTTCTATTAATCTTCAGTGGTTTCTGCCGAGGCATCCCTCCTTTTGGCGTTACAAGACATCGTGAAACGAGATTAAGCCAAAAGATGCAGGTTGAACGGATTGATGATGAAGAAAAAATGCCCTAAATGAAGTGAGTCAGAAAGATAGAGAAAAAAGGTGTCGGGACCGATTGAAGTATACCAAAGGGTTAAACTCATGATCCAACTAGAGCTATAAACAGCTACCTGGCTGAAACAGGCGGCTACTTTCTTTGAATCGTAATGTTTATCTCCTGTCCATGTGTCAAGACAAATGAATATAATCAGCAGGCTGACAAATGTGTAATGTTGCCAGAGTTTAAGTCAAGTCAGTTGGGTTGAGTACAAATCCGAGTCTTGAGCCACTTAGGTTGAGTCCGAGTTTGAGCCCAAATCACGAGTCACTATTAGACAGATACATACATGCATACCTGCAGGGTGCTTGCACTAGCACTCCCATTCATACTCATGCAGAGACAATTTTACAGAAAGCTAAAAGATCACAACTGTACAATATGAAGGTGTTGCACAGCATTGTCCGACAAGTTTGGGCTGCTCGAGATTCCCCTGTGTTACAAACTACATGTACACCACAATGCAATGCAACGTACGCTTTCACTGCACACTTCAAAGCAAAGATGACGGAGGCGGGAATAAGAATGGACAGACAGACAGACAGATTGGAAGACAAACAAACTGCAGAGGGATAGGGATGCATAATCTTTGTCATGCAGACCCTGCAGATGTAGGCCGTAAGGGTCTGCATGACAGTGCACCCCTATCCCTCTGCATTTTGTTTGTCTTCCACCCTGTCTGTCTGTCTGTCTGTCCATTCTTCCTCCCTCCTCCATCATCTTTCCCCCTCAGGCGGCCCCAGTGCTGCCTCAATCCAACAGACGCAACAGGGGGAAGCGAGAAGGCCAGCTTGATTACAACTGATTTCCACGGCTGTCGTTTAACCAGGTACAGGCCTATGGTGGTCAGCTTTATAAGATAGAGGATGTGCGAAGCACGCTGTCAGAGCAATGTTAAGATGAGCATGCTTGACGCGATCTCAATGAAATTAATCTTGACGGGCTCAAGTACGCAATGGCATTGAGATTTGCAGGGGAATTTGGAGAAGGGGGGGGGGGTAGGCTGGGATGTCAGAAAGCATTTCGTGTGACAATCAAACGGATTTCAATTTGCACTCTGGCAGTCTTCATTGGAACATACTGATGTACAGAATTAATGGTGATTGAATGTTCGCATATGAAGCTGACAGTTTGAAACAACTTCTGTTTACCCACTGGTAGTTAACACAATTAGTGCTCTTTTTTTTTCAACTTTCTTTTTCAGGACAGTGACAAAATTTGTGTGTACTCTAATGCCGATGCGCAGCCTTGATGCAGTCGTGGGTTTTGATTCAATTCCAATGTCTCACACGAAGGACGCTATTTGACCTACTCAAGAGAGTGAGTGAGGGCCATTCCATAACACTGCTGTCATGTGCTGCCTGACTGGTTCCAGGGCGTTAGAGTTAAGCCCCATGCCATC